CCCGGTGTGAGTTTTTAAGCCACCGGGTCCGTGACGCGAACAGCGGTCGACTACGTGGGAGTTCAGCGACATAGCCATTACACTAACTGCTGGTCTCAATAAAATAATTCTTTAAAAACAAATTCTGGTTTGACTAGTCCAATAGTCCAGTTCAAATCTTGACCCTGGTGGCTTGAAAAACACACCAGACTTGAAAGCATGTGTGTCCCAAATCCAGACAGGATGGAAAAATAGAAGAGAAGGGATTGTAGTACGGCCACGCCCCATGGGGGTGTGATTTCTCCCTCTCTCTCCCTCTCAGGAGAGTGCATTTACCCTCTGGCTATTAAAAAAAATTCAGGTCTTTGTGATCTAAGAATGTTATCCTCTAATTGGGGACAAGATTTTACAGTAGATTATTTCTCTCAGCTCAGCCAGTGGCATGGTGGCTAAAGCAGCTGGATCCCACATGGACAACTATGTGATTTAAGTCCCAGACCCAGCAGCTTGGAAGGTACTCCAGGCACGAGTATGTGTACGTGTGCCCAAAATCCCAAGAGAAGAATGGAAGAGAATGCTGAGTTGTGGTCCCCCCCCCCCACCCAGGGAGTAATTTCTCACTTTCTCTCTCTCTCTCTCTCTCTGACTCTTTGCAGCAAGCACACCTACCCTATAGAAAAATTACAAAAATAAATAAATAAAAGAATAAAAGTGTCTCAAAATGCTACAGGAGGGGCCAGCAGGTAGCATGGTGAAGGTGCTGGATTCCCACATGGCTGACCATGGTTCAAGTCCTGGACTTGGCAGCTTGCTTTTTCACTTTCCTTCTCTCTCTATCTCTCTCTGGTCAACTTCAAAAAAGTAAAATAAAAATAATGACAATGAATAAAATTAAATAAAACAATTCTTTAAAAAATATGCTATAGGGGCCTGAAATTTAATCTTTTAAAAGTGTATTTGTTGGGGCTAGCAGGTGACATGGTGGTTGGGGTGCTGGACTCTCACATGGTCGACTGCGGTTCAAGTCCTGGACCTAGCAGCTTGCTTTCTCACTTTCCTTCTTTCTCTCTCTCTCTCTCTGGTGAGCATATGTGCCCTACAGAAGATTTTAAAATGATGATAATAATAGATTACATAAATAATTCTTAAAATAAAATGTATTTGTTGGATAGTGAGACCATGTCTAAAACAGAATTGGACTTGATTTTGTCCCAGCTCGGAGGCTGAGGCAGTAAGATCACAACAGTAAGAACTTGTGTTGGGACCGCAGGTGGCATGGTGGCTAAGGGCGCTGGGCTCCCACAAGGCCGACCACGGTTTGAGTTCCAGATGTGGCAGGGTGCTTTCCTATTCGCTCTCTCATGCTCTCTCTCTCTCTCTCTCACACACACGCACACACACACACACACACACATACACACTATCACTCTCTGGTCAAATTAAAATAAATAAATGGATAAATAAAGTTAAATAATAAAGTAATTCTTTAAAAAAAAAAAGAAGAAGTTATGTTTATGGGACCAGCAGGTGGTGTCGTAGTTAATGCGCTGGACACTCCCACATGGCTGACTACGGTTTGAGTTCTGAATCTGATAGCTTGCTTTCTTGCTTTCTCTCTCTCTCTGTGTGTCTCTTTCTGATTAAATGAATAAATAAAATTGAATATTTTTTTTTTAAAAAAGAACTTGTCTTTTTAAAAACGTATTTGTTAAAGAAGCTGACATTTTCTTTTGGGAACTGTTATTTTTTTCTAGGGTGGGACAAGAATGTCTGCTCCCTTCCGCATGTCTCTGTTGTTATTCTTCTGCCTTAGTAAACGTCCGGGAAGAACAGATTTTCCCTGGCCAGGAGCCAGGTTAGTGGAAAAGTTCTTTGCCTTGAGGCCCCCTCTGGTCCATGGGGCAGTCCTCTGACCACTGACTGGACTCACTAACCCCGTGGCAGCCAGGAAGGGAAGCATAGAACCGCAGAACTCTGGAAGCAAAGGAGAGGGTGGTGAGCTGTCATTTCCTGGTGACCTACTTCATGCAGATGCTGTGCTAGGCTCCCTGCACAGGTGATCTCTCCCTCCCACCACCTCCGAGCTCAGTATCGACACCTGTGGAACACCGAACTGGAGACGCAAAGAGCTGCTCTTGGGGCCACGAAGCTCTTGTAGTAACCCAGAGCTCCCATGAGCCCAGGTTCACAGCCTTCCAGACTGCAGATTGTGGTGCTTTTTGCCCATCCATAGAGCAGAGGGAGGGTTGTCCAGCCAGAAAATGGTCACATGCGCATTCTGTTTCCATGTGAACTAGGCCTGCCAGGGTGCTTCAGGTTGATTTCAGTGTCTAGAAGCCAGAACCAGATACTCAAGACAGAAAGCGAAGACGCTGCACTTTCCCCACGACGAGGTTCAGCGTCAGGAAACCCAGGAGTGCTTTTTGATCTTTCGTTTTATTTTATTTATTTATTTATTTATTTTTCCTGATAAGTTAGAAGACTTCTGGAGCCCTGTTGCTTTAAGCTGAAGTTCTTGTTTGGGAGGAGACTGGGAGGGCAGCGGATGGTGCACGCCTACCTGGGCAACCTGCGTTAGGTGTGGCTGGAGCGGCTTGGGATGCGAGGTGGGCGGGGGGCGGGCTGAAAGTTGGAGCAAGCAGGAAGTGAACCGAGGGCTGCCGGGGAGGAAACAGGCGAGGCGACTTCTGCTGTGGACGGGTCTGAGCTGCTGGGAGACATGGTGAGTGAACCGGGAACCAGCAAAGGGCTGATGTAAAGAGGAGCCGGAGTGGGATCTGGCCTGGGAGTTGGCGGGGACGGGACAGGAGCATTGGTGCGAAGTCAGAGGGCTGGGTGGGCGCTGCTGTGGCCGCTTTGACAACTTGGCTGCAAATAGCCCTAAGGTGTCTGGGCGGGGAGCCGGCTCCTTCTCTGCTGCCTCCCTCTGGGACCTTGTGGACAGGAGGAGGACGTCGGTGGGGGTGGGGGTCGGAATTCCAGCCGGAGTTGTAGTCACCCTCCTCCTCCTCCTACCCCCGCTGGGGCTGGAGCCCGGTGTCACAGGGCCAGGGCAGCGTTTCTGTTGTCCCCAGCTCAGATTCCAGCCCAGTGGCAGTAGCTCTCCCCCTCGCCCTTTCACTTTACCCCTATACAGAAACCCAAAGAATTTCTCTGGACCCAGAGCCCAAGGAATCGGCCCTTGCTCTCTAAACCAGAGGAGGAGAGTTAAGGAGTTTATTAAAAGAATCAGAAGGTGGTTTTCTGCGATAATCTAGTATGACCCACACCCCTGGCCTGTTTCTGGAGCTCCAGCCGGTCAGGGAGGGAGGAGCTTAATAATGTTTTTCCTCCCTGTTGAAAAACTTTATCATGAAGTCTCCGGGATGAGGCATCAGCCAGGGAGGCCCGATGTCCATTTCCCCAGCACGAAGGCCGGTGTTTTTATTTCATATCTGCTGAGCAGGCAGTGGCCTGCTGCCCGTGCCTGGTGCTAAGTTATGGGGAAAGCAGAAGTGTGCGGCTCAACGGCTCGTGGAGCCGTTGGGGGCCGTGGTCGTGGGTCTGTTCTGGGTCCCAGAAGTGGAACTAGGGCTAGAAGGCCAGGAGGTGTGGGAAACAGGGCTGCTCTCACAGCCGTGCAGAGAGAGAGGTGGGCTTGGCCGGGGAGGGTTTCTGAGGGCCAGCACAGACACTCTTCCTGAAGACCCAGTGGGACCAGGAAGGGGGATGGTTCTGGGCACTGGGGGGCCACCCGGGGGGGGGGCTGGAGGGTACCTGTGTTATAGGAAAGCATTGTGAGAGGCTGGCCCTGCTGTCTTCTGGGGTCCAGTTGGAGGAGCACTGGAGAGGGTGCTTTTCCTTGTCAGTGACCTGGAGTACCCCAAAAGAAGTTTTATTTCTTTATTTACTTTTAAAAAATTTGCCAGAGGGACCAGCAGTTAGCACAATGACTATGTCGCTGGATTCCCACATAGTTGACCACGGTTTGCGTCCCGGACCCGGTGGCTTAAAACTCATGCCGGGCGCGTGTGCATGCGTGCCCAAGATCCTGAGAGGAGAATGGAGGAGAAGGGATTGCAGCGTGGCCATCCCCCCTGGGGGATGATTTCTCGCTTTCTGTCTCTCTCTGTCTGGCGAGTGCATGCGCCCTATAGTAAAAACCTCTCCAAAAAAAAAATTTGCCAGAGGGTGCATACATTTGCCAGAGAGAGAGAGAAAGTGAGAAAACAATCTATGGGGTGTGTTTACACCACAATCCTTTCTTTCCATCTCTTCCTCCTTTCGGATTTTGGGCTTGCGTGCACGTGCGCCTGGTTTTTCTCACCTTGCCATGTGCTGGACTTGAACTACATGGTTGGCCATGTGGGATCTGGCTGTCTTAACCATCATGCCAATAACTGGCCCATTTACTTACTTATTTAAAAAAAAATTTTATTAGTTTTTTTCTGAGGGGACTGTGTGTTTGGCAGAAAGAAGCAAAAAGAGAGGGAAAGTTAGAAATCACCTGCCATGGGGGGATGGCTTCCTGCAATCCCTTCACCTCTATTCTCCCCTTAGGATTTTGGGCATGCACACACACTTGCCCGGCATGTTTTTCAAGACTTTGGGTCTGGAACTCCAACTGCAAAGTCAGCCATGTGTAATCTGGCTGCCATAATCACCTGTTGGCCCACTTTTATTTTTTTCTTTCAGTTGGCTATCGGGTGCACATGCTTGCCAGAGACGGAAAGAGAGAGAAATCATTCTCCAGGGGACGCATGGCCACCTACAGTTCCTTCTCCTTCATTCACTTCTTGGGCTTTCAGCATGTGTGCATGGGCACCTAACATCTTTTTCTTTTATTCTTTTTCTCTCTCTCTCTCTCTTTTTTTTTTTTTTGATAGGTTTTTGCTATAGGACGCGTGTGCTCACCAGAAAAACAGAGAGAGCCAGAGAGACAGAAAGCGAGAAATCCCCCCAGGAGGGATGGCCACGCCACAATCCCTTCTCCTCCATTCTCCTCTCAGGATCTTGGGCATACATGCACACGTGCCTGGCGTGAGTTTTAAGCCACCTGGTCCAGGATTCGAACCATGGTTGACTACATGGGAGTTGACATAGGCATTATGCCAACTGCTGGTCCCTCTTTTTCTCTCTTTTTTAAAAACTTATTTATTTAATTTTATTTATTCATTCATTTATTCATTTTATTTTACTTTTAATTTGACCAGAGTGAGACACAGAGAGAGAGAATGAGAAAGAAGGCCACCAGGTCTGGGACTCAAACCGTGGTTGACCATGTGGGAGTGTCCCGTGTCTTAACCACCACGCCACCTGCTGGTCCCCTCTTTTTCTCTTTTAAAGGTTTTTGCCTTTAGGGTGTATATGCTCACCAGAGAGACACAGAGACAGTGAGAGATCATCATCCGGGGGGATGGCCACGCCACAACTCCCTTCTCTATTCTCCTCCTGGGATCATGGGCACTCATGCACATGTGCCTGGTGTGGTTTTGAAGCCACCTGGTCCAGGACTTGAACCCCAGATGGCCACGGGGGAGTCCAGTGACATGACTGTTACACCATCTGCTGGCCCCAACACCTACCATGTTTTTCAAGCCACCAGGTCTGGGACTTAAACCTCACAGTTGGCCATGATGGATCCAGTACCTTAACCACTGTGCCATCTGTTGGCCCACTTATTTATTTAATTATTTATTAAGGTTTATTTCTCTATTAAGGGTGTTTGTGCTCACTGGAGAGAGAGAGAGAAGGAAAGTGAGAAATCACCTGTCCCCCACCCCCCAGGGGGGGGTATGGCCACACCACTATCCCTTCTCTATTCTCCTGGGATCTTGGTCATATATGCACATTCACCTGACATGATCCTCAAGTCGCCAGGTTGGAGACTCAAACTGATCAGCCATGTGAAAGTCCAGTGCCCCTACCACCTCACCACATGTTGGCCATCTTGGCCTACTTTTTTTTTGGGGGGGAGGAGCAATTTTGGCTGTAGGGTGTACTAGCCAGAGAGACAGAGAAACAGAAAGTGAGAAATCACCCCCAAGGGGGCATGGCCACACCTCAATCCCTTCTCCTCCATTCTCGTCTTGGGATTTTGGGCATGCATGCACGTGCGCCTATTGTGAATTTTAAGCCTCCAGGTCCCAGCCACAGTCGACTACATGGGAGTCCAGGGACATAACCGCTACGCCATTTGCTGATTCCTGGCCTATTTCTTTTTTTTTTTTTTTCTTTTTTGAGAGATTTTCGCTATAGGGCGCGTGCGCTCGCCAGACAGACAGAGAGAGACATAGAGACAGAAAGCGAGAAATCACCCCCCAGGGGGGATGGTCATGCCGCAATCCCTTCTCCTCCATTCTCCTCTCGGGATCTTGGGCACGCACGCACACGCGCCCGGCGTGAGTTTTCAGACACTGGGTCCGGGACGCGAACCGTGGTCGACTACGTGGGAGTCCAGCGACATAACCATTATGCTAACTGCTGGTTCCCGGCCTATTTCTTTTTAAAGTTCCTTTCTTCCATGAGAGAGAAACAGGACCCCAGCTTCATGCTGCAATCTACCCCAGCCTAATTCAGCTCCACATCGTGAGCAAGCACGGGCCCAGGGTGCTCAGGGAGGTCTCTGAACGGGAACCCAGGACCTTTCCATGCAGGTCAGCCTCACGGAGCACTGCGTTATTGCTGTACCACCATCCAGCTTCCCAAAAAGTAGTTCCACCTAGTCTGTCTAGCGTCAGATCTCGCCTCTGGAGCTGAAAGATACTATTTATTTATTTTGTAAATTATAGGAGTAATACAAAAACATCCTCTTTGGGGCCAGCAGGTAGTATGGTGGTTAGGGCACTGGACTCCCACATGGCTGACTGTGTGATTTGAGTCCTGGAACCAGCAGCTTGAAAAACCCCGTAGGGCATGTATGTGTGTGTGTGTGTGTGTGTGTGTGCGTGTGCCCAAAATCCTGAGAGGAGAATGAAGGAGAAGGATTGTGGCAATGGCCATTCCTGGGTATGGGAGGGTGATTCCTCACTTTCCTTCTCTCTTTCTCCTGGGATTGCACATGCCCTATGGCAAAAACCAGAAACCAAAACAAGAGAGAAAAAAGCATGCTCTTTGTTACCAATGCAAATATGACAAAAATCTAAAGTTCCCCTTAGGCCATACCCACCCCTGGCCCCTGGGCTGAGTCTCTCCCTGTTCCTCTACCACTTGGCCTAATTAACTCCTGTGTTGCTGTCCAGGAGGAGGCCAGTGGAGGTGGAGGAAATGACCGAGTGCGGAACCTTCAGAGTGAGGTGGAGGGCGTCAAGAATATCATGACCCAGAACGTGGAGCGGATCCTGGCCCGAGGAGAAAACCTGGACCACCTCCGCAACAAGACAGAGGATCTGGAGGCCACAGTGAGTCAGGGAGCCTGTGGAGGGCTGGAGGAGGAGGGGGAGGGCAGACTGCTGGGAAGAAGTTGTTTTAGTAGGGCAGCATGAACAGGAGGACGGAACTCTGCCATTTCAATGGTCTTGTCATCTGCTTTGGAAATAATACGAACCGAGTTTCCACTTCTGATCTGGCTCTGCCTCAACGATTGGTCTGGAGTCCAGGAAATGGGTGCAGTGACTGGGGCCTGGGGTGGGGTGGAAAATGTCTGTAGAGGCATTCTCTAAAACAGACAGGCAGCTCTGTCGTCCCCAGGATTTCTTCGGCTTCTCTTTTATGAAACTTGTTTTCTCTTTGAAACATGCCCTTGACAATCCGTTGGACGTGACCTCCCCAGGGCAAAAATATTGGCTCTGGGAAAATCCTCCTAGGTCCTTTGGCCTTCTCTAGGAGTTATTAGGCAGGGGGTAGAAAGCTGCTAGAGTCTTGCCGAGTCAGCTTTAAAAAGAAGCTGGGAAGGGCAGTGAAGTGCTTTGATCCTGGCCCTCTGGCAGCTGAAGGTTAGAATAATATCTCCCAGTCATCTTTCTAGACCTCATTCTGCTCTCTCTCCAGCTGGGGGCCAAAGCCAGCTGCTCGGGGAGTTCAGCAAAGGCAGGAGCCTCAGGGTTTGTGTAGTGGGGAGACTGGCTATGGCTTTCTGTGTCCTCTGTGAAATCCTGTGTATTCTCCTTTGTGTTCCTGGATTTAGTTCCTCTTTCCACAGCCTAATCCGGGCAACACAGTCTGGGAAACTTGGTATCTGCAATTTAAGAAGTTTCCTTTCCTTTTTTTTTTTTTTTTTTTTTAGAGATTTTTATAGGGCGCATGTGCTCGTGGGAGAGACAGAGACAGAAAATGAAGGGAGTAGCAGTTAGTGTAATGGCTACGTTGCTGGACTCCCGTAGTCGACCATGGTTCGAGTCCTGGACCTGGTGGCTTAAACTCACGCCGGGCATGTGTGTGTGTGTGCCCAAGATCCCAAGAGGAGAGTGGAGGAGAAGGGCTTGTGGCATGGCCATCCCTCCGGGGGGTGATTTCTCACTTTCTGTCTCTCTGTCTTTCTGGTGAGCACATGTACCCTATAGCAAAAACCTCTGGAAAAAAAAAAAAAAAAAAGAAAAAGAAAAAATTAATTTGGGACC